ATAAAATGCTTTTCATTTTCCACTGAGCCAGTATCACATAAAACACATAGTCTTTCCGGTTCTGGTAGTCTTGCAAAGCACCCAGTCTCTATACGTAACGGGGCCACACCGCATCTGACTGAAGCAAATGCCCTTCTACACGAAAGGGGTATGTCAGACTTCAGATAAGCCTCAGGCTGTGTATCAAGTTTAAATGTGCGGTATGTCCTAAGCTTGTTTCTCTGGCCGGGTGGGTGTTGACCATCATTCCAAATGTTTTGGTGCCAATCTTGTGAAGCCTTTATACATAGATGGGAAGCTATTTCGTCCTTCGAAGTGTCAAATGGTACTGCTAAATCCGAAGTTATTGTTTTGTTAAGGTTAAAAAACCAGTTATTATGTTTACGAGTAGTTCCAAAGGATAAATTCCAATTAAACACGCGCCTTGTAAGCCTCGTCTCGTCGAGAGATAGACAACGGTCCCTATAACGAACTGCTGCCAGTATCTGCCATTCATAAGGAGTAGTCCATCCCATTTCAGCACGTACGGCTAAGTTAGGCGCATATTTCCCCAGACCAAGGAAAACAAGGCACGCTCTGTGATATACTGCATTGATACAAGCGTGTTGCTTGAGACCATATTCTAGCACTGGTCTTACTAGGCTGTTGTATAATTTAGTATAACAATCCAGTGGCAACGCCCATGACTTTGTATTTAGCTATTAATAAGCCCAGCGGTATATTATTACAATGTGTCTATCAACTCTCATCGCATATAGTCCAAACCGGTTGAAGTTACGGTTGTCATGGTTAAGGAGCAGAGATCACGATAGTTGAAAAAACTTGTTAGCCATTGTGGCTAAATCTTCCAAAATATTTTTAGCCAACCAAAATATGAATTAGCCATTTTGAAAAACCGTAAAAAAGGGAATTTGCAATAGAGGTGTCACGGTCCAAGAAAATTTCGGTACGGTACGTAACGGTACAAATGGTCTCAACACGTTACTTTCGGGACGGGACGGGACAGAACATTAAAAATGATGAAATGTCTGATGATGACAGTTTCACTTTTCAAAATCATATTCAGGAATAAAAAAACGTCCATTAAAATTGAATGTAAAGCATCTGCCGCGAATGTGATCGGCATTTCACATAGTCTGCACAGTGTAAATACTGCCGACTTTTTCGACTTAGATGCCGGCTCGATTTTTCAATTTCTTTCCTACATCCGGCATACTGATAATGCACTAGATTTGCGAACGACGATGAAGAAATTTACGAACAAGCATTACCATCTACCTGAAATCGCGGGTCCGTTAATAACACTTTTCAATGCAAAGAAGTGTAATCTAGGTATGAGGTAAGTGAAAATATTTCAGAACGAAATCGGAGGTGTTCCTCGCTATTTATACACGTTTTTATGCATTTTAGTGAAGGAATCTATGTACCGATATTAACCCTTTCTGTCCCATGTCCCGAACCGAAGCATCTGGACCGAAATTCGGTCCAATATCGGGAAACCGTGACACCTCTAATTCGCCATAACTGCGAAAAACCTTTACATGTTTTTCGCCACCTCTTTCGAAAATTCGCAATTGGCGAATGGCGAACGTCTACCGTGATCTCTGTTAAGGAGGTGAGAGGTATGTGGAGCAGTTCCAGAACATCGCTAAAATCTGATTAATTGCTAAAATATAACCATCATTGTGTTTTCTATCAATGTTTTGTTTTCTTCAATATTGTATTATTGTTGCTATTATGTTCTCATAATGGTGTCATTGATACATGTCAGAACTATGTTATGTCATCAAAGTAATCAAAGAAATATAATACAAGTGCTTAAAATAAAAGTTTCCTGAGGTAATAAGGAAAGTCAATATTCCACCTCCAAAATGCACCAATTCACAAAGCAAAGCCAACAAATCTCAAAATGGAGTGTCTTGACTTTAAACCTTTTTGTACAATGCCCCATATTTACCTGAAAAGGCCCCTTTAGACTTTTACCTTAATGAGCATCTCAAAGCGATATTTGTTAGAAGTTCAGTATCCAAATGAGACTCAACTGGAAGCGAATGTTATCAGCAATCTGAAGACGAACAGCAGCTGTTTTGTCCTGTCTTTGAATCTTTGGTCAAGATGCACCATGAACATATAGATAATGTGGGATAAGCTTCAAATATCCTAAGCAATCCTAAGCATAAAGTGAAGCAAATCTAAAATGTTTCATCTTAAACTTATCCAAAATTAAGCACAGAAGTACATTTTACAATTTGATACTGAACGCAGGACCATTAAAACACAATTTCGAACATTATATAATGTTTCTACGTTTTCAAAAGAAATTTCCCTGAATGTCACAGTACATGTACGTCTGAGTACGATAAAGATTCTCTACGTGTATATAGCTTCTTGAAGCTCCTGCTGCCGTATGACCCCGTAGAACAAATGTGCGTGCAAGGCTTAATGTTAATCTTTTTGAATTACGTTATTTAGTTGCTTGGATGGTGGGTTTATCGTTTTCTTGCTTATCTGCATGGTTGATTGCTTGATTGGATGTTTGTTTGGTTTCATCCTTTCTTTGTTGCTTTGTTGCTTCCTTGGTTTCTTGCATTAGAGCTGATAAGTTGCTTGCTTGGTTGGTTTTTCTGTTGCTCCAATATACATCTGTCCACCAAATATGAAGAAATTCCGCCAACTAGTATTCGAGTTATCTTCTGGATGGACGGACAGAGGGCTTCACTATATCCCTACCAAACTTCATTCGTTGTTATAATTAGGTAGAAATATTTAAAAATAATTAAAAATTAAGACTTTTTGATTACGGTTTATCAAGTACATACATATCAATGCAACATTTTTACTTTTGCGGCTTCATCAGAATTTAACAGATTTATGTTTTGGCATTTTTTTAATTACTACAGTGTGTCTCAAAAAAATGTTACACTTACAAAAGGTTCAATATCTTTCATGATTTTGACTTTTCCCCTAAAATATACTTAGATACCAAAAGACCAGTCTTTCTGCACCCTGTTTATCAGGGTAATTATGCATGGTTATTATAGACATACATTTCTTGGAGAAAAAATTAATCTCCTCAATCAGGACTAGAGGGATCGATAAAAATCAGGTCCATGTATGTTAATATTTCTTCTCGTTATTTCGAATTTTAGAGTGTTTTCATTATATTTTCATACCGTTATAACTAGATGATGGCAACTCCGCGGAGTAGCAAATCCCAACGAACAAAATATCAATTACCGAATTCCAATCAATCATACTCATTACTTTGGTTAAAATTGAAAAATTTAGATTTTAGAATTGCGAATTCCTGCAAAGCAGCCATTTTGAATTTTCTGAGGTACAAATCTGAAAAATAATACCATAATTGTGATCTACTCCAAAATTCCTTCAATTTGAGTATTATATAGCCATACGTTGAAGGGATCGAAAAATTATTGCGAAATTGTACAATTTTTTTTTTTGCGTAAAACTATTCATCAATATACATCTTTCCACCAAATATGAAGAAAATCCGTCAACTAATATTTGAGTTATCTTCCGGACGGACAGACGGACTGACTGACGGACGGACGGACGGAGGGCTTCATTATATCCCTACCGAACTTTGTTCGTTGGGATAATTACATATTCTACAGTATACCAAAATCTACTCCTGTTATTTGGCCAGTATCATTCCATGTTAAAACCGATTACAACACCTAATATTAACAGTTCAATCTTTAAACTGAGAACTTGTAGATGAATTTGAAGAAAATTGGTCAAATTTGAACCAATTTGAAAAAAGACCTTTTTTGACCCTGGGAAGGTCATTGAAGGTGAAATTTCAAATCTTAAGTCAGCTTTAACTTCTGAGAACTTGCAGATGATTTTGAAAAAAAATTGGTCAATTTGAGGCAAGTTGAAAAAGACCTTTTTACCTTGAGAAGGTCATTGAAGTCAAATCCTTTCTGACCTTGAGATGGTCATTGCAGGTCAAGTCTATAGTCAGATTTGAACTTTTGAGAATTTATAGATGGTTTTGAAAAAAAAATTGGTCAATTTAGAGCAAGTTGAAAAAAGACCCTTTTGACCTTTTTTACCTTGAGGAGGTCATTGAAGATGGAATTTCAAATCTATAGTCAGATTTGAACTTCTAAGAACTTGTTGATGATTTTGAAAAATTGGTCAATTTGAAGCAAGTTGAAAAGATATCTTTTTGATCTTGAGTAAAATCTTTTTTTGACCTTGAGAAAGTCATTCAAGGTCAAGTCTATGGTCAAATTTGGACCCTTGAGAACTTGTAGATGATTTTGAAAAAATGATCAATTTGAAGCAAGTTGAAAAAGGACCTTTTGACCTTTTTTTACTTGAGAAGGTTTGAAAGTCAAATTTCAAATCTAAAGTCGGATTTGAACTTCTGAGAAAAAAGTTGGTCAATTTGAAGCATGTGGAAAAAAGACCAACCGCCCAATGTCAACCGTTATCACAAAAAATGGAGACCATAACAATATGTCACCACTTTTTGTTGATGGTGACATAACAATGTATACTTAAAATACATATAAGCCCAGCCGGTATTCATTTAAAATACATGTAATTATAAAGTGTAAAATCTAATGTGACATGATATCAATCAATAAAATAGTTTTTATGGTTTAAAAACATGCTGTTTAGTCTTTGCTAGTGTTTGTGTGAGGTTTTCATTTGTCATGAGAGCACAATACTGAGCCAAACTAGAGAGTGAGCCAAAGTTGATAATGTTCATACATGTGGCTACTAAGCCTAGCCTACTAAGACTAATATGGATATAGCGTTAGGTTCAGGTTCTGTTTTGTGTCCTTGTGGAGCAGATATGTCCTTAGCTTATTTCTGTTCTCCTGGAGTTGTTCCATATGAAGTTGTGCCAAGTTATATGTTGTTTTGAGATTAGGTCAAATTAATACTTTTTAATTCTATATTGCACTGATGGGATATGGTGATAGTAATACATCATGTATATAACAGAATTAATTCGAACATACCATAGCTTGTGACATCTGCCCTATAGGGTTCCTTCCCAGCCTCATTGGTGGCCCCCAGGCCCTCATTGGCTCCATTCATCCAACCAAAGTTTGTGCCTCCATGAAACATGTAGAAGTTCACAGAGGAGCCCTCAGACAGGATGTAATCTAACACCTTCTTAAACTCTGGAATTGTAAGACTCTGGGATTGTAATCATATTTTAACACTATTCTAATATAGTACTAATATTTCTTAAAGCAAAGCTAAGCCAAAGTATTCTAATGCTAGTACTGCACATATTATGTATGTCCTGATCAATTTTGTAACCTTTGTGTAATGATTATCTTTGCAGATTATGTTTGATTTTTTATTAATTACTAGAAAAAATGTTGTTGCAGCTGTATTTACAGCATTTAGAAACTGAGAAACTAAGTGTAACATATAGAACTAGAACTTTACAAGGAATTGACGAAATATTTTCCTCACACTAACAACATACAGTTTGGACAATATAAATTAGATAGCCACATAATACAGTGTATCATTGAAAAACGTACACCGTCCTCTTTAATCTTGTCCATATTAGAATTGAATCAAACGTTTTGGGAGTGATATGCAATGAACTGACATAATAGATAGATAATATTATGTACGCTTTCATGATTTGAAATGGCTACACAACACTTACAGCCAGCACTTTTTAAAATAAGATTTAAGATGAAGAATGGATAAGACTTCTAAAAGTTTCCTTATAATATGGTCAACTATTTTATAGAGTACCAAAAAAATCTACTAAATGTTGTCAATCTGTGAAAATATTACTGAAAGAGTGTTTTAGTTCTGGTATAATCAAGACAAGATAAAAGTACTTCTAATATATAGTTTAATCTTTCAGAGTAGACCTATTGAGTTTCAGATAGGTGGATCCCACTTTGTTCATTTTAAAAATAAAGTGATACATGTATTTTAATATCTTGCCAAGTTTTATAATGCATTATATGAAAAGAAATTGTATTTAGGAAAGCAAATCTTGATAATTTTTTACATAATGTAAATATTCCGAAACTTAATGATGAAAATAGATTAATTTGTGAAGGTCTTGTAACGCCCAGCAATTTACTCCAGCCCCTGTGAATACAGAGCAACTTGAGGGCATGTAGGAGGGGCAATAGAGGGGCTTGATGTTGGACATGATGGGCAGTCTTCAAAGCTCAAATGCATCAATCAAACAGGAAATTGCTCCCATCAAAGATTTTTGCAACAAGATAAGTGAAAGGGTCGACACCAATACAGCACATATCACTTCCAATTTTACTAAAATTGGACAGCTGTAAGCCACTCTTAAGGATCAACTAGAAAAACAGCAACTCTATGGAGTAGCAAATCCCACTGAACAAAACATGTTTTGATAAATAGCGGCCATATAAATTTGAGCCAAATCCATCCACTGGTATTTGAATTATTAAAGATTATGTTTTTATGAAACATGGTTGCCATTTTGAAATTCAGCAGTCATCTTTAGATTTCTTCTTTAGCAGCAGGGTATTTCCTAAGGGCCGGACCGTCGGACCAGACCGACCAATTTTCATACGGTCCTATAAAAATTGAAAATTACCGGACCGCGTGACTGATGGCTTAAATGGACATGTAAACATACCTTCCAAGTCATGTCCGACGATTGGAATCTGACTTTTTCACAGTATAAACTAATGACAATTCTGATTAATGCAAAAAATTAAATAAATGTTACAAATTTTGCAAATACATTTTGTTTTCAAGACAAGAGGTAAATTTCAGATCGTTGTTTTGTAATACCGGCCACAGCATGAAGGCTATGCACAAGTGGAATCCCCTATCATCTTTGACATACATTTATTCTCTTGACTATTGTCATTAATTTCGTAAATGTAGGACACCTGAGGGTTCCTAGGGGAGCTCAAACTCTGCTTAAAATCATATTTACGACCATGACCATAAACATTTAATAATCGCTATAGTTTACCTGTTCAAAGACACCAAATCATCTAGGCAGCCATTTTGAATTTTTTGAGGCACAAATCAGAAAAACAATACCATAATTGTTATCTACGCTGAAATTCCTTCAATTTGAGTATAATATAGCCATACTTTTGAGAGATCAGAAAATAATTGCGAAATCCTACATTTGGTGGCCATTTTGTATTTTACGAGGCCAGAATCAGAAAAACGATGCAATATTTGCAATCTACTCTAAATTGCCTTTCATTTGAGCATAATAAAGCTATACTTCAAAAACATCTCATAATTAACACAAATTCCAGTTTTCCCATTCACGGCCCCTGGGGGTCAGGGTGAAAAACACGAACAACTACCAAAATTTCAAATAATAATATTTATTACTTTTGTTCAAAATGAAAAAAATTAGAGTTTTGCGAAAACTCCCGCCATCTTTAAACCAGTGCATGGCCATCTTGAAAAAAAACGGACTGGCTGGCTGACTGACGGACTAACTGACGGACTGACAGACAGACTAATAGACTGACTGACAGATGGACGGAGGGATTCACTATATCCCCAATGAACTTTGTTCGTTGGGATAATTATGCTTGAGCAGATGCATACAAAGTGTATAATATAAAGTATGATTAATTACCAAAATAATATTTGATATGTATATTATTTAAAATATTTTATTGCTAAAATGTGACTTCTTAGAATTAAAATTCTTTAAGCTGATAATATGAAATCCTAGACAAATAGATTATCTGATTAATAAGAAATTAGGCCCAAGTTTTGATAAATCTTTATAATTACAATACCATCTTTCAAGATGAATTAGATCTGACACTTGTTCCAAACACTCATAAACACACAAAAGTACCACTAATAAAAAAAAATGATAATAAATATGTGGAATAAACATGGTCTCTTCCCTCGAACATCTCATCTGTGACTAATATAAAATAAGTAAAAATAGATTGACACTTTAATTCTTCAAAGCTCAAAATGTCACAAAATTAAATCTATTTCTTCCAAAATCTCTTCTACATACTTCAAACTATTTTGAACAGTATGTAACAATTATAAAATGTACATCTATACCCATTCCCAGTCCAACACTTGATTCAAAACAAAACATATACTTGGGTACAAGTTGTCTTGGGTACGAGATGTCATGGGTACAGGTTTTCAAGGGCTTGGTACACAAAGCAAGCCATCAGCTTTGAAAAAGGTATATTTGGGCACAAACATTTTATAAGGCCTCAATTTGTGGGACTTTGGTGCATTCTTATTTCTTATTTATTCATTTTAGTTCGAATTATCAAAATATGAATGGGCCTTAAATTTTCAAATTTGGGCCCAATTTGGATTTTTGGGGCTCAAATTTCTTTTGCCGCACAAGCACGTAATGTTTTTTCTGACTTGGAATGTGGGTCCTGCCTGTAATATGTGTAAGACTAGCAATGTGTCTCTCACTGACATGCTTTGCTCCCCTGGCCCTTTTGAATTTTTGCCTTATTGAAAGAAAAAAATGCCTCGTTATCTGAAAAATTTGCCTCATGCACCCCCCTTGAGAAATCCTAGCTAGCTACGCCACTGATGTTAATGCCTTGTTTATACATGCTATCAATATTTTTAAATATTTTTGAACTTGGATATATCCCTGATTTACATAACCTATAAAGAAGTGCTGTCCTGTTGACATAATCAAACACTTTCCTAAAATCTACCATTATACAATAAAAGGGCTTTTTCTGCCTCTTAAAAGGTGAAATAATAGTATTTAAAATGAACAAATTATCTGTTGTATGGTGACCAGATTTGTAAGCCCCTTGTAAAGGGTCTTAAATATGGAGCATTTCTGCAATGAACACTTATCTTGTTTGAATGATTGTATCAAAAACATTTCCTAAACAAGCAAGCACATTAATTCCTCTGTAATTATCTTGATTGAAACGTGATCCTTGTTTGTAAAGAGTGGAGCGCATTCTTATTAGACTCCATTCTTCAGGGTAATCTCCTCTATCAAAAATAAAATTAAAAAAAGTGCTGGTAAACCATCAATACCTCGCAATTTGTGAGCATTAATTTTATTTCAGGCATTAAGAACCTCGTTTTCATGTATGACATGGTTAAGTAAATGATCGCTAATTTGTAATGAAAATGATATTTTGCTTTGAAATCCCATTCAAAATAAGAATATAGTAAACTTTTAATATTAACATTTTTATCTGACTTGGAAGTGCTTTTTGAATGCTTAATATTAAGACTAAAGTGAATTGGTGCATGGTCTGAGTCAGGATGCCTGTCATGAACCTTAAAATCAGAGAAAAATTTAAATAGTTCAAGTTGTGAGAGTTCATAATCTAATACTGATTTCTCTTTGCTATTGTCTAAGTCATTTTGTTCTTGGTATCTATAATAAGTGAATTTTCCAATACCCTTGTCTACCATTCACAATCCTTAAGTTAGATGATTTACATAAACTCATGACCATGAGTTTGATAAACAGCTTTAAGATTTTTATCCATTGAGAATAACCCCATGTGATGCATCTTGGTCAATATATGTGGTGTATATATGAGGTGACCAGAAAAATTAAAATAGGCAATATCTCATAAAATAGATGAGTGACATCAATGTTTTACACAACTGAGGAAAGTTATATGGCAATCTTTTCATGAAAGTTTCAATAAACCCAGTCTACTGATTAACTAGAAAATGGCAACTCCACGGAATAGCAAATCCTAATGAACATTACATAAATCATCAATCTGTACAGTCACTATGTAATATTTACCATCTACTCTTACCTTCAATAAATATTTCAAATCATTGTAGTATCATGTAACCATACTTTCAAGATAACTCTAGTAATGGCGAATTTCTGCTCTACCCAGCCTTTCAGTAGGTGATGTAGGTTTGAACCTAAAGCGAACCTAAAAGTGTTTCCCATAATTTGTCAGCTACCTAAATGAACCTACAAAAAGTAGGTCCACTTCAGGTTCGAACCTAACACAACCTATAACACTTTTAAAAACTATGAATTTCTAGGCTCACTATAGGTTCGAACCTAATGTGAACCTAAAAAACTTTGAAATGTTTAGACTTACCTCAAGCGAACCTAGAAATCTTGGAAATATCTAGAGCTACCTAAAGCGAACCTAAAAAACTTAATCATTTTCACTGAACATATATTAGAAGC